CATTGTTAACCAGCCAAGCAGTCTGTTTGGTGGCAAAGGAGGTTCTAGCAAGAATAAGACTGAACATGATACAGTGGGAACTGCAAGGGACAGTAACAGCAACACTCAGGACCAAGGTATGATATTGGAGAACAGTGTTAGAAGCATTTAAATCCCCCTCCCAAGTCCTGTATTCAGGGTTCCGTGTCTTTTAGGAGAGTCTGGTGAGGCAGAGCCAGTGGAGGGCAACCACAGAGTGCAGGGAACAGATACCGACCTGATGGATGGAGAAGCAGAAGGGGACACCGTGGTCATTGCTGGTCAGCCAGAAGTTCTCAGTACGCAGGCTATGCAGGTGAGTGATGTTTCAATTGGGCATGATCTACAGTGCTCAGATCAGCTAATTACTTCATGTTTTACCTCCATAATTTCTGATATTTTATTATTTATGGATTGGATCATTTTTGACCATTGTCCATGTCTTGTGCCTACAGGTAGAAAATGAGTTGGTGGATCTGATCGATGAGCTCCTGGAAAGAGATGGTGGAACAGTCAACAGTACAATTATAGGTGAGTGACTGGGTATATTATACATATACATATATTATACATTTAAAATAGTGACAAAGGAAACTCAGCATAAGTTCAATATTTAGGTGACACACACACACACACACACTGATATTTCTGATTGCTGTTTGTTAGTTGGCCGCAGTGCAGAAGATGAATCACAAGAAGATGTTTTGATGGACGAGGCTCCTTCCAACCTCAGTCAGGCCTCCACTCTTCAGGCTAACCGAGAAGGTAAGACATGGACACCTTAACAAACACTATCTTAACTTAGAATTAACTGTTAGAATAAAATAACTAATTAGAGCATCCCATGACAGAAGTTGTTTTATGTTATACTGAATATGATGCAAAACTTAAGGAAGAAATGGCTGATCCTGGTCTAATTTAATTGTGGGATTCTTTTCTCTTAGACTCTATGAATATACTGGAACCAGAGGATGAGGAGCACACACAGGAGGAAGATTCAAGTGGCAGCAATGATGATGAAGACAGTCAGGATGAAGAAGAGGAAGAAGAAGAGGAGGAAGAAGAGGATCAGGTATGGTTTTATTATTTGTGGAGCGGTTATGAGTGTCACCTTATTTCATAGACTTAAGTTGCTGCCATTTTACCTTTTTAAGGATGATGAGGAGGGTGATGAGGATGATGATGATGAAGGTTCAGACATGGAGTTGGACGAAGATTTTCCAGACATCAATGCTGCACCTCATATTAGGTTTGAGAGGTTTGATCGAGATGATGACCTCATCATAGAGTTTGACAACATGTTCTCTAATAATGGTAAGGATTTTATGTTTTTTAATCATTCATGTGGAATAATGCAACATTTACAGATTTCTGACTGCTAAGTTAGTCTATTTTCCATGTTAATAGAAAAAAGCTTATTCATTCTTCAGTACTGGAACTGTTTTCAGATACACTTAACTTGAGCCTTTTTCCATTCTAGACAGTTTGATTTGTGGAAACAAAACCTGTTAATGAATGGCTCAGTTCCTGTAAGAGCTGCAGGAAGCTGTGCCTTTGAGTTCATAAGGACGGTACCAGCAACCTATAAATTGCTCACCTAAATCGATTGCCGTTGTTTTTAATATAATTACTCCTTTGCGTCCTGTTTCCTGCTCACACTGTTTCCATCACTGTGAAAAAGTAGCCTTGCCTTCAAATGCATATAGTCCACTAATGGTCAGCTCCTGTTTTCTCTATCTATCAGCTGACATCCCTCCCTCCCCCGGCAACATCCCCAGCTCCCACCCACTGATGGTGCGCCATGCTGATCACGGTTCCCTCACCTTAGGTGTGGCGGGCACAGGCAGCCGCCTTGCGCAGGGTATGGGTCGCAGTCAGCGAACACTGCGACAGCTCACTGCCAACAGTGGACACACCATCCATGTCCACTACCCTGGAAACCGCCAGCCAAACCCACCGCTTATTTTGCAAAGGTAACAAGAGCTTTGATATTTATTTTCATGTATTCTGCTAACACATCACAATCTCTAATCAATTGAAATGTTTAATCTTCATTTTAATTTTTTTAGGTTGTTGGGTCCCAGTGCTGCAGCAGACATATTACAGCTGTCCAGCTCTCTGCCTCTTCAGTCTAGAGGACGTGCCCGTCTTTTAGTTGGAAATGAAGATGTCCACATCATCGCCCGCTCTGATGACGAATTGTTGGATGATTTTTTCCATGAGCAGAGCAGTACTGGTGGGCAAGCAGGTATGATTTTCAGTGTAGACATTTATAAGATGCTGTTACGCTTGTGTATTGGCTTTAACCGCTAAACCTTTTGTTCTCTCTGTTTATGTAGGTACACTCTCTAGTATTCCCACTGCCTTAACCAGATGGACAGATGAGTGTAAGGTCCTGGATGCTGAGAGTATGCATGACTGTGTAGCAGGTAATTTATATTGTTCAATTTAATTAAATAAATGTCAGACCTATTATTGAAAAGGATGCATTACAACACATTCTGTGTTTACCTTTAGTCGTGAAAGTTCCCATCTTGCAACATTTGGAAAATCTGAGGGATGAGGAATTGGAAGAGCGCAGAGAGAAGAGGAGAAGGCAGCTGGCTGAGGAGGAGGAGTCGAAACAAAATGATAGGAGGGCCTCTGGAGCAGAACAGGCCAGAGAGCAAAGTCTGCAGGTTGGTGAAAGTGTAATTTTTTTTTTGTTTACTTCTACAACAATGTTGCAAACAAATGTCTTCGGCTTTTGGACCACTCTTTTTAAAATTGCATTTATCTGTGAAAAGACTTAAAGCTGCAGCGTGATAAGTCTCATCATACAGGCCAAGAAGGAAATTCTTCTGACTAATATTTTATATTCCTGTTTCTAGGTTTCCAGTTTGGGGACAATTAATGGAACAGAAAACACTGCAGGTAGTTTAATTGACAGTTATGTCTTCTTTAGAAGTTAAACTCTCTATAACTAATTGAAATGGATTCGTCACAGTGATCTGCTCCTACTGGTAACCTGCCAGTAATGCGTGCTGTGGGATGAGGTAGTAGTTTGTATAGTTTTAGGATCACACCAGATCTGGGAGATAACTATACAGTCTACTGTCTTTCTTATGGCAACGCAGTAACAGCTCATCATCCACTGCCGCTGCAAAGGAACTTCAACTGTTTAGCTGATAATTTACAAAAGTCAAATGTGCATTGTGGTCATTGGCATGTAACCATGACTATAACCACTGTTGTCTGGTGTAACATGTCGATTGTGTTCATCTTGTGTTGTGCAGATGGCTGGGCTGTGGTGAGGTAGTAAGTTGTGTTGTTGTTGGGGATCAGGATTATTCACCCCGTTCAGGAGATAACTATACAACTTACTGCCTTCCTCAGCAGAGGCTATTGACATCTTTTTTACGGAGCTCATCGGTTGTCTGTGTGGCTGTAGTTCTATGCAGTACAAATGTTTATCATACCTGGAAAAGATATGAAGTGCAGATGATAAGGATGAACTGTTCAGTAGTGCAGCACATTCACCAGTTGTTTCTCTGAATCTTTCAGAGGGTGAGCAGGCTCAAGGTGGTACAGTATCATGTCTGGAACCTCCCAGGGTTTCCGAAGGTTTCCTCACTGCTCCCCCATCTGGAGAGGTCACTCCCACCACGCCTGCTCCTCATGAACAGGCTCTAGTCTCTCTGGAGACTGCCATCAGTCAGCAAGTCCACCAGCCGATTGCTGACCTGCTGTTGGCCGAGCCACATGCCAGTCCTTTGGTTGCTCTGGCCGGGGCTGGCCTTCCATCTTTGTCAGGACCCGACAGGCCAAACAGCGAGGCAGAGGCATCTCAGATGGAAATGTCTCCAGCACCCACAATCGGTGAGCGAGCCGCTGGAGGAGGTGGAAGTGGTGGTGGAGGAGGAGGAGCATTGGATAAAGGCAGGGAAGGTAGACTAACTTTAAAAGATCTCTTAAAACAGACTGGGCAACAGTAAGAACAAACATGTTGATGGTCATCACTAAGTATTTCCTGAAAATGTTTAACACTGGAATCAGAGTGGTGTCCCATTTATCTCTGCTTTAGTACGTTTAGTAAAATTATTTTTGTTCTAATTTTCCTAGCTTCCCTCAGTCCAGACCTTGTGGAGACTGCAGAGCCTGCGGTGGTAGGTGTGTCACAGCTGGAAGGTTCACCTATGGATACTAGCAGTCCTGCGTCTGCCACTCAGGAGGAAGCTGCTCCGGTCCCTCAACAGACCACACAGCTCTCTCAGGAGCTCTCTGGGAGTGGGGAAAGTGGATTAACAGACAGACAGACAGATGCAGAGACTGGGTGAGGAGCTGATACCTTAGAATGTCTTTCACACTGTCACCCAATTACCACTAGTCTTTTGCATTTAATTGCTCATACAGTCTGAGATGTCTTTTTAGTAGTTAATGTTCTAAACATCATATAGCTACATATAATATTACTGTTTAAAAACCTTCTGTCCTTTGATGTTACAGCTCCACCTCTGTCTCATCGCCTGGGGAGACGATGCCCAGGAGTGACAGTGCCGACAGCCAGTCTCAGGCCATACAGGAAGAGCCTCTCCCATCCACCAGCAATGATGAGGAGGACCCACTTGCAGGTAAAATGCATTGCCTTAGTTTCTCTCTAGTACTTCTCTTTATAAAACAACTCTTTAATGTGTTTTGGTTTTACCTTGGTAGGCATAAGTCTGCCAGAAGGTGTGGATCCTTCTTTCCTGGCAGCTCTTCCTGAGGACATTCGGCGAGAGGTTCTGCAAAACCAGCTTGGAATCAGACCGCCTGCCCGTCCTCCTGCTGCCAACAGCCTGCCGTCCTCTACTCCACCTGTAGTTGGAGGACCAGGAGTTACTGAAGTCAGCCCTGAGTTCCTGGCAGCTCTGCCCCCTGCCATTCAGGAGGAGGTAAAATCTGCTTTGCTTTGTACAAACCCCTGCCATTCAGGAGGAGGTAAAATCCAGAAATTAGAAAAGATAACTGTTTTTAAAAAGGCTGTTCTTTGCTTTGTACTTAAGTAATTTTGGGATAATAAAAAAATAATTACTGACAAGACTGATTTTAAAGGTCATAGATGTTTCTGATTAATTGTCTTTTATGTCTTAGGTTCTTGCCCAGCAGCGAGCAGAACAGCAGCGAAGGGAGCTATCACAGCAGCCACCACATGGGGACACTCCTCTGGATCCAGTCACTTTCATCCAGACTCTACCCTCAGAACTCAGACGTAGTGTCCTGGAGGACATGGAGGACAGCGTGTTGGCTGTCATGCCCCCGGACATCGCTGCTGAAGCTGCTGCACTGCGTAGAGAGCAAGAAGCACGTCAAAGGCAACTGATGCACGAGAGGCTGTTTGGTCACAGCTCATCTTCAGCCCTGTCGGCTATATTGCGCTCACCCGCCTTTACCAGTCGACTGGGGAGCAATCGTGGCGTTCAGTACACTCGACTGGCTGTGCAGAGAGGAGGCACGTTTCAGATGGGAGGTGGAACAAACCACAGGTGGGAGACACTAGTTGAGCAAATGTATTTGTTACTGTTTCAGATAAATATTTCCTTTACTGTTTAAATTTTACGTGTCAGACATACATTGCCTCTGTTTTGGAAATGTTTTTTTAGTTAGGTTTAGAAATGTTTACTCATCACTTTTGACAAATAAAAACTAAGATCATATTTTCTTTTCCCACAGACCATCCAGTTCAAGTGTGGACTCCTTACTGCGTCTGCGTGGCCGATTGCTGCTGGACCATGAGGCTTTGTCCTGCCTGTTGGTTTTACTATTTGTGGATGAACCGAAGCTCAACACCAGCCGTCTGCACCGTGTGCTCAGGAACCTCTGTTACCACTCTCAGACAAGGGGATGGGTCATTCGCAGCCTGTTGTCCATCCTCCAACGCAGTAGTGAAAGTGAAGTGTGTGTGGAGACCTCACGTCTAGAAGACCCTCGAGGCAAGAGAAGCAACCAGGGAAGCTGTGGAGGAAAGGGATCAGGGTCCTCCTCCCTGTCCTCTTCCTCCCCCTGCTCCTCTTCATCATCATCGTCCTCCTTAGAGCTACTGAATAGAGTGGAATCTCGCAGTTCTAGCCAGCTTTCTTGGCTCTCTGTGTCAATGGATGCGGCTTTAGGCTGCAGGACAAACATTTTCCAGATTCAGAGAGTGTCAGGTCGGAAACATGCAGACCGGCATTCAGCTGGAGGCTCTTCAGGCTCTGGAACACTAGGAGGGGTGTCAGGACCTGCTACAGGTGTGGCATGTGGTGGAGGCTCAACTGTTCACATCCATCCACAGGCTGCTCCAGTTGTCTGTCGGCATGTGTTGGACACACTCATCCAGCTGGCTAAGGTAATGGACCACATGTTATTTACTCATGTTACCACATGTTGGAGCATTTATTCTATGTTCTAGATATAAATAAATTGAGTAATAATTTAAGGGAAGTTTTGTTTGTTTTTTTCCTGAGAACTTTTTTTTGTCTCTCCCTTAAGGTGTTTCCCAGCCACTTCACTCAGCAGCGGTGTAAAGATCTGTTAACGCCATCTTCTGACCTCGACTCCCGTCTTTGTTCTGGCCCCTCCAGTGGAGGTGGAAGTTCCAGGTCAGCATCACAGTCTCAAAGCAATCCTAGCTCCAACTCCTCTACCACACAGAACTCCTTTGGCTCCTCTTCAGTTACTCCCCAGTCTCTGGGTATTTCCACTGATTTCTGGGACCTGCTGGTGAAACTGGACAACATGAATGTCAGTCGCAAGGGAAAGGCCTCTATGAAGACGGTGCCTCTTGGGGGCAGTGCTGAAGCCGAGGGTGCCCAGTTGAGCCTTGAGACCTCTCCCCTGGGCCAGCTGATGAACATGCTGTCCCATCCAGTGATCAGACGGAGCTCCCTGCTCACTGAAAAGCTGCTGCGCCTTCTTTCTCTAATTTCCATTGCTCTGCCTGACAACAAGGCCACCGAGGTGCCTGCTGCACACCCTACTCCTCAGGCTGCCACGTCCACTGTGGCAACCAGTTCAGGTCCAACAGTTACAACACAGGTTGTAGTGTCGACCCAGCCAGTTGTTCCAGGTCCAGGGGTGTCTGTAGTAGCTGCTACACCAACGTCATCCTCAGACAGTTTAACATCCTCTCAGACCTCCTCCACAACGATCTCTATACCTACATTCACTGGAATCATTCCTACAGGTAGTCTCAACTTGCTCCAAAGAAAAAAACAATGTTTTACAGATTACAACATGCACAGTATTTCTAATGTGTAGTATGTAATGTAATTTTTTGTGGGGGATTTCAACACAGGGAAACAACGGGTTTCTTCTACCAGTTCAGAGTTTGACAAGATGGCTTCAAGTGGACTGACAGAGAAACAGCTCCAGTTGTCTGTGGAGGTATGGGAAATTTAATTTAATTATTGTTTTAATGTTTGTAAGGCATAATTTGTGGTGTGGCTTTGTGTCATCAAACTGGTCAGACTATTGTAAAATAAGACAAGTATATCTGTCTTGTTTTTAATCAATATGCACTTTCCTTGTATTGATAAATGTTCTGAAGCTCGGTCTTACAATTTTGTTTTTCTCCAGGTGTTGACATCACACTCATGTTCAGAAGAGGGTTTAGAGGATGCAGCAAACATTCTGTTGCAGCTCTCCAGAGGAGACGGCTCCACCAGAGACACTGTGCTTAGACTGCTGCTCAGTGGTGCGAGACATCTTGGATACACTCTTTGCAAACAGATTGGTAAGTTTTACTCACCATCTCCACTGCCTTGCCATTATCCAGATAAATTGTTCTCATTTACTCTGTTTCATGCCTCTTTCTCAGGCACGTTATTGGCTGAACTTCGAGAGTACAACTTGGAGCAGCAGAGACGAGCACATGCTGAATCACACTCCCCTGATGCTCCGTCTGAGGATTCCTCCATCTCCGCAAGACTCAAGGGCAAGATGACTAGCAGGTTAGTTACATGATTTCATCTGTATTATTATCCCCAGTAGTTCTAGTGTGTTGTATGATGGTGTTTTTTTAAGAAAATTAACATTTTGATACTAACATTAAATTTGATGTGTTTGTTGATGGGGCCACAGGTTTGATGGGTCGGAAAGTGTAGTGATTGTAGCTGCACAGAAGCGCACTCTAGGTGGACGTGAGCTTCAGCTTCCCTGTATGAGCTCACTCACTTCTAAGACGTCTACACAAAAGTTTTTCTTGAGAGTGCTGCAGGTCATTATCCAACTTCGTGAGGATACACGTCGTGCCAACAAGAAAGCCAAACAGCCTGGACGATTAGGTAAGCTAAGCTAACCTTGCACAGAACCTTGATGTGCTTCAGAACCATAAACTGTATACAGATGATGCTCAGTAAGAAATCACCTCTTTCCAGGCTCCTCCAGTTTGGGCTCAAACAGCAGCATTCAGGCTGCAGTCCGTCAACTGGAGGCTGAAGCCGACGCCATTATCCAGATGGTGAGAGAGGGTCAACGAGCACGCCGGCTCCAACAGGCACCCTTACCCCCCGCCTCTGCCGCCGCCGCTGCCGCCCCAGCTGCTG